TTCGGACGTCCATGGCGGACGACTGACCTATGAAATGAACTGAAAACCTTTTCTAAATCAGTTTTTAATGCCGATTCAGAAAGATATAGTTCGAACCTTCCATCGTGCAATACAAGCACAAAAACTCCTTGAACTAGAAAGGAGATATTCGTGATCAGCACAAAATTCTGCGTCGAATGGTGTACTTTTAAGGGAAAAATGAAGAGTGCTGAAATTTTGAATTACCGGCACCTTATTGAAAAGCGAGTTTTATGAAAATTTGGGTTTTCATGCTGTTTTCACCTATTAACAGATTCACTACTCACTCAATAAACATCAGAACGGGTTCAAGACTTCAGAATGTGTACCATTTAAGCGATTGTATATCTTATTTATAGGCGACCATAAATGAGAGTTTACAGACTCTAAGCTCTTCCAAAAGTGTTTCGGGAAAAGCCATTAACGCAAATATCCTTTTCGAGTTTTTCGATCTTGCAACTACCTGCAACGGCCTGGTTTTCCAAAGATCTCCTCTATAATTCTCTTTGGCTTTCAGTAAAAGCCGTCTTTCTCAGGAAGGAAAAAGAATTTCGAAAAAAGCTCTTCACACTTTCAGAGCTGGCGCGTTGGCGGATCTGATGGTGTGTGAATCATCGATATAGCCCTTCACCCAAGAAACTAGATAGATTTACAAAATGAGCCACACCCAGTTGACAGCCGTTGGTTCGGACGTCCATGGCGGACGACTGACCTATGAAATGAACTGAAAACCTTTTCTAAATCAGTTTTTAATGCCGATTCAGAAAGATATAGTTCGAACCTTCCATCGTGCAATACAAGCACAAAAACTCCTTGAACTAGAAAGGAGATATTCGTGATCAGCACAAAATTCTGCGTCGAATGGTGTACTTTTAAGGGAAAAATGAAGAGTGCTGAAATTTTGAATTACCGGCACCTTACATTTTAGAACTTTTTCTAGAACAGCACTTCACCCAAAACACTAGATAGATTTACACAATGAGCCATACCAGCCGCTGCTTCCGACGTCCATGGCGGACGACTCTTCACCTATGAAATGAACTGAAAACCTTTCCTAAATCAGTTTTTAATGCTGATTCGGAAACACACAATTCGAACCTTCCATCGTCAAATACAAGCACAAAAAGTTAATTCGCTTAAAGAAGACGGTTTTTTGTATTTTCGAAGTCTTCTCAGTAATCTGAACTCGACGGCGAACGACACTTCCACGTTTCCAACATGCTCACATGAAATGGTTTTCTGCTTTAAGGCTGCATGACAGACAGTGAGTGTGCAACCAGTGGCAATGTCGGAAACGCTTACTGCAGCGCAGCCACGCATAATTGTACATGTACCTATGGCGACTATCAAATGGGTTTAGGATGTGGTCAGTATTGTCGTTTGACCTCATTGCAGATCAAGTTTAAGCATAGCTTAAGCGGCGAAAATGTACTTGCTCTCTACGGTGTCGACGACTATATGGCTGAGAAGGTCCGTCGCTGACGAACTTAGTATTTTAATGTTTGCTCTCAGAGGAATTCAGAATCACTTTCTCATCACTCTGGCTTCCCTTTCACAGCTAAACGAGCGCTGATCATACATTGCGAACCAATATGCATCAACTCAAGACCTTTTTGTCGGGTGCACCATCCGAATCCTCTCATTTGGCGACCATTTCTCAACCGAAAACTTCTCTGCGTTCATATGAGAAAACAGCATGTGCGACAACCATTTGAAAAGTAGCGAGCAAAATGCGAATACTGAAAAAGAGAGCGAAACACTTATGCACACTGGTAGTTGAACGAAGCCTAATGCAAGCGCGTTGGCGAATTACACTTCCACGTTTACAACATGCTCACTTGAAACAGTTTTCTGCTCTAAGGCTGCATGACCGACAGTGAGTGTGCAACGAGTGGCAATGTCGGAGACGCTTCATGCAGCGCGGCTACTCACAATTGTACATGTACATATGGCGATTATCAAATGGGTTTAGGATGTGGTGAGTATTCTCGTTTTGCATCATTGCAGATCGAGCTTAAACATACATAACATTCTAGCCTTTGTTTCACTGTTAAAAGCGTGATGATCGTAGTTTGCGTGCAAATATGCATCAGCTTGACACTTGCTTTGATTATTGAAATACGTGATATGACGGTACTATGTTATCAATGTTTCGAATGACGTATGATGCGTGTGTGACACTGTCGAATAATCTGTGCTCGATCCGTTCATCGATCAAATCGCGAAGAAAGAGTAACGTGGAGTTTTGTTGAGGTCGAGTGGACCATCCGCATCCTCTCATTTGGCGACCATTTCTCAACCGAAAACATGTCTGCGTTCATATGAGAACAGCGTGCACGAGAACCATTTCGCGTGTTAAGAGAAGCGAGCAAAATGCGAATATTGAAAAAGAGAGTGAAACACTTGCGGATACTGGTCGTTGAACGAAGCCTAATGCCAACGCGTTGGCGAACGACACTTCGACGTTTACAACATGCTCACTTGTAACGTTTTTCTCCTTTCAGGCTGCATGACCAATAATGAGTGTGGAACAAGTGGCAATGTGGGAACGGCTTCATGCGCGGCCAGTCATAATTGTACATGTACATATGGCGATTATCAAATGGGTTTAGGATGTGGTGAGTATTCTCGTTTCGCATCATTGCAGATCGAGCTTAAACATAGCTTAAGCGGCGAAAATATACTTGCTCTCTACGGTGTCGAGGACTTAATGGATGAGAAGGTCCGTTGCTGACGAGATTGATGTTTGCTCTCGGCCGCATTCAGGATCACTTTTTTAACATTCTAGCTTTTGTTTCACTGTTAAAAGCGTGATGATCGTAGTTTGCGTGCAAATATGCATCAGCTTGACACTTGCTTTGATTATTGAAATACGTGATATGACGGTACTATGTTATCAATGTTTCGAATGACGTATGATGCGTGTGTGACACTGTCGAATAATCTGTGCTCGATCCGTTCATCGATCAAATCGCGAAGAAAGAGTAACGTGGAGTTTTGTTGAGGTCGAGTGGACCATCCGCATCCTCTCATTTGGCGACCATTTCTCAACCGAAAACATGTCTGCGTTCATATGAGAACAGCGTGCACGAGAACCATTTCGCGTGTTAAGAGAAGCGAGCAAAATGCGAATATTGAAAAAGAGAGTGAAACACTTGCGGATACTGGTCGTTGAACGAAGCCTAATGCCAACGCGTTGGCGAACGACACTTCGACGTTTACAACATGCTCACTTGTAACGTTTTTCTCCTTTCAGGCTGCATGACCAATAATGAGTGTGGAACAAGTGGCAATGTGGGAACGGCTTCATGCGCGGCCAGTCATAATTGTACATGTACATATGGCGATTATCAAATGGGTTTAGGATGTGGTGAGTATTCTCGTTTCGCATCATTGGCATCGCAGGATTTGTGCTGCAGTTATTGTTCGTTTTCAGTCTGGTTCAGTAGGAGAGCTCTGCAGCTAGCTCTTGAAGTAGTCTTTGGATTGTTTTTTCTGTTCTGGCGTGTCGTTTTTACTTGAGAAGGGTTTAATTGGGGGAGACATGATTGAGTGATGACTGTGACCCTTGGTGGTCGTTATGCTACTCGGCGTAGTTGTTATCGACGATGATGCCAAAGAAAATACAGGCAGTTCAGGTTTATAGCGAAATTCTGACCCATCCGTACTTTATTTCAACACGGTATTGAATTTTAACTAGCAATTCCGTTCTGGCTTACTTTAGCATGTATTACCGCATTCCAAACGTATCCAGCTGGAAGTGCTCCGTTTTCTGTTGTGGTAGGTGATTTCAATGGTGATCACAAAGTTGATCTGGCCGTTGCAAATTTTGGTTCTGGCGATGTTAGTATATTGCTCGGGAATGGGAATGGAACGTTTCAAAGTCAGGTAAGGTATCCATCTGGTACCGGTTCACGTTCTATTGCAACGGGTGATTTCAATGGTGATAACAAAACTGATTTAGCTGTTGCAGTTCAAAATACGAACAACGTCAGTATATTGATCGGTAACGGCAATGGAACATTTCAAAGTCAAAGAACATATGCAGCTGGATTGACTCCATATTCTGTCACAACAGGTGATTTCGATGGTGATAACAAAACTGATTTAGCTGTTGCAAATCAAGGTGCGAACAACGTCAGTATATTGATCGGTAACGGCAACGGAACATTTCAGAGCCAAAGAACATTTGCGACTGGGGTGAGTCCATATTGTGTCACAACAGGTGATTTCAATGGTGATCACAAAACTGATCTGGTTGTTGGAAATGGGGCTGGCAGTGTCAGTATATTGATCGGTAATGGTGACGGCACGTTTCAGAGTCAAAAGACTTATACGACTATGTCGGGTCCACGTTCTATTGCAACCGGTGATTTCAATGGTGATAACAAAACTGATTTAGCGATTGCAAATAGGAACGCCAACAATGTCAGTATATTGATCGGTAACGGCAATGGAACATTTCAGCCTCAAAAAACTTATCTAACTGGGTCGGATGCATTTGGTGTTGCAACAGGTGATTTCAACGGTGATCAGATAATTGATTTAGCTGTTGTTAATGTGCCTGACAACACTACCAGTATGTTGCTCGGCAACGGCAACGGAACATTTTACAATCAAATAACATATCCAACTGGGCGGAACCCATATTCTCTCACAACAGGTGATTTCAATGGTGATAACAAAGCTGATATAGCTGTTGCAAATGGGGATGCGAGCAGTGTCAGTATATTTCTTGATTCCTGTGTCTGAGAGGAGCTTGTATCAGTTCCAGAACTCTTTAAATTCTTGTATACTTCTTTTTATTATTATTTTTATTATTACATTTTCATTTATCATATGTCTTTCTATTTGTTGTTAAAATAAGTTCACCTTTTCCCTTTTCAGTTAATATTAAATTGTTGGTCGTTGACGGTATATTAATAAACGGTTCAGGCATATTACACAAAAATAGGTAGTAGTACAGGATACAAACAAAAAATAGGCTTACAAATGCCCCCGCCACCTTAAGCGCAATGGATATACCATTAGCCGCATCCGATACGTTATCGGCTCATACTGAATACACCACAAAGTGGAATAACATCATAGCAAAAGCTAAACTCGAATTAACAGAAGTTATACTGAGAGCTAGAGAGGATGAATTGCAAAAAATTAAAAAAAAGGTGGACGAAAAAAACTCTTTCAGGTTCAAACATGGTGGAAAAGTACGAAACATGTTACTTCGTTTGAAATTTATATAGGATGAAATACACGTGTATCTCAGTTAAATCTAATACAACAAATAGACAAGTATCGATATATTTTTTGAGTTTGTGTTATACGACAGACATTGTCTAAATTTATTTTATAGATAGACTTATATGACAACCACGTGTGTTGTTGAAGATATCGTTTTTATTTTCATTTTACACGAGACGAAAACAGTATATCAGCCACTTATTTCTTACTTCTACTTAGTTCATATCTGCTTTTTTAACTTTTCCAAAGCAGAATTGTATAAAAAACGCTAATAAAACAAAGTGCACAGTAGTTCCAGTAAGTAAGAGAGGAGGGACATATGAACCGTTTCTATTTTATTAACAATCAAAATTTTTCTAAAGTTCAAAACACCGTTATCCTAATTCCTATGACCAGTAGAGAAGAATTAGCGAAAGCGAGAGCGTGTGTACAAATGGAATTGCTAGAATTGGTCGACTTATTACAAGTCACTTTCTGAGATTAAAATTTTGAGTGAGTCATCTCTCGAAGACCAGCTTTTAGCTCTTCTCGGTTTTTTTGAGCATTTATTTGTACTCGTTCTGTTGAACATTTGCTACACATTATCATGTATAGTTCCTTTTTTTTAACCTGGTTCTAAACGTGAAAACGTCATACTATTCAACAAGTTTGATGTACTGAAGTATAACAAATGTACATTACATTGAAAATAGGCTAATAATCTTGAAATTTTTTCTTTGAGCCGCGCACAATAGAATGCATTAGAAAAACACAGTTACACACTTTATAACTTTAGATTCATACTGCATTAAACGTAACTTAATAATAACACATAAAATATTTTTAAACAACTTCATTTACCTTTTTTAAATCAGCTAATACCTTCAGATATACTTGGTGTAGCAATATTTATTGCTGATTTATTTTCATTTTGTGTCTTTATTGTAGCTTCATTAAACAGTGTGTTTCGTCAGACAAATGGAACTAATTCATTTACCATTTGTCTTTTTACTTGTTGTTAAAGTAAGTTCACCTTTTCTCTTTTCAATTGATATTAAATTGATTGTCGTTGAGGGTATATTAATAAACGTTTCAGCCATATTAAACTGATTATTCCAACGCAGAAAAGTTTGCTCTGCAAAACACGCTTCCTTTTTTTTCTCTTATCGATTGTTTATCCTTACGACTATTTCTTCTAAAAAACGCTGCCGTTTTATCATTGTTTCTTTACTGTCACTTGCCTACCATTCAAATATTAGTTTTATTAATTCCTCATTTTTTTGATTATTTTCTAGCACGAGTGTCATTTTTGAGGGTGAGGGTGACGAACAAAATGGTTTAATATTTATACTTAAAAACAAAAAAGTTTGAAAATAATACGTGTTCGCATGGAAATTTTCAAATTGGTATAGGATATGGTGAGTATGCTCGTTGAACGGTTCGACGTTTACAGCATGCTCACTTGTAACGTTTTTCTCCTTTCAGGCTGCATGACAGACAATGAGTGTGCAACGAGTGGCAATAATGGAACGGCTGCATGCAACACGGTCACACATAAGTGTTCGTGTACGCATGGAAATTATCAAATGGGTATAGGATGTGGTGAGTATGCGTATCTTAATATAGTTAGTTTGGGCTCATTCGGTTTTTTAAGTCGTGGGTCGGTTTGGAATGCTTGGTTTTAGGGTTTGTTGGTTTTGCCTGGATTTGTGCTGCAGTTGTTGTTCGTTTTCAGTCTGGTTCAGTAGGAGAGCTCTGCAGCTAGCTCTTGAAGTAGTCTTTGGATTGTTTTTTCTGTTCTGGCGTGTCGTTTTTACTTGAGAAGGGTTTAATTGGGGGAGACATGATTGAGTGATGACTGTGACCCTTGGTGGTCGTTATGCTACTCGGCGTAGTTGTTATCGACGATGATGCCAAAGAAAATACAGGCAGTTCAGGTTTATAGCGAAATTCTGACCCATCCGTACTTTATTTCAACACGGTATTGAATTTTAACTAGCAATTCCGTTCTGGCTTACTTTAGCATGTATTACCGCATTCCAAACGTATCCAGCTGGAAGTGCTCCGTTTTCTGTTGTGGTAGGTGATTTCAATGGTGATCACAAAGTTGATCTGGCCGTTGCAAATTTTGGTTCTGGCGATGTTAGTATATTGCTCGGGAATGGGAATGGAACGTTTCAAAGTCAGGTAAGGTATCCATCTGGTACCGGTTCACGTTCTATTGCAACGGGTGATTTCAATGGTGATAACAAAACTGATTTAGCTGTTGCAGTTCAAAATACGAACAACGTCAGTATATTGATCGGTAACGGCAATGGAACATTTCAAAGTCAAAGAACATATGCAGCTGGATTGACTCCATATTCTGTCACAACAGGTGATTTCGATGGTGATCACAAAACTGATCTGGCGTTAGAAATGGGGCTGGAAATGGCAAATATGATTGAGGGTGCAACCAGTGGGAATGTGGCAACGGCTTCGTGTGTGGCCAATTCGAATATCTTCTTCAGTAAATGCTCGTTTGTAGAATGATGGTTGATAGACAGAAAAGTGGCTGTTTATATAGGAATTTGTTCATGCAGACGGAAAAATAAGAGGAGAGAAAATGTTTTATTTTTGATTGTTTATTGAAAGAGAGAGTGAAAATTTTGGTTCAAAGAGAAATGGAAATTTGTCAGAATTTGCTGACTTTTAGGCTGAAATGTTTTGGAATGCTTTTGTTTGAATAGGTAGGAAAATCGGTCTGTATTATTTCGATCGGTATATTAACCTGATGATATTTTACGTTTTGACGAACAGATGCATCTGTAGAGATTTGAACGTAAAAGCATGCATTTGTAAAAAATAAAAATTAAATTTAAACGTGAAAAACACGGTCAAGTATTACGGGTTAGTCGATTTTCTTGGAAAATGAACCTTCAGTGAGGGTGAGTGAAACTAAAACAAAATCACAAAAAATCATTTTCTATTATCATCCTAACGATAATATCTTCGGATATACATTCTCTGAAAGTCCAAGTGTGAATGTTTTCTTCACATATGGCAAGCGTTACCTTATCGGTAATATTCACATGCGAACCATAAAACATCAATTGCTCTCACTTATGTTTGGAGATCAAATACCAGTTATATAATTGAGAAGTACATGGGAGGAAGTCTGAGGCTGAAGCTGTTTTAGATCACAATCAAAATTTTTCTAAAAGTTTAAAAAAAGCTGTTACCACAGTTTCTATGACAAGTAGAGAGCGTATTTAGAAATAAAATTGCTGTGTACTTACCTTAAGCTCAACCTCGAAGCAAGCCGAACCTAGGTGAATGATTCACCTTGATTGCATTATGTTGGAACACTTTATCTTGAGAGATCGAGAAAAACAGGTAGCTACCTCAAAGCGGTAACATCATTTGTGAATGATTCCAGTACTAATATGATATTCTGAATGAACCCTCACCCTCGATATGATATTCTCACCCTCACTGTTACGAGCAGTCATGAACCATGACTGAGGTATTCCACCCGTTCTCTTAATAAATGGGTAGTTTTCAAAATCCGAACGCTTTTTTATTGTTGCTTCTAAACCCAAAAGGGTATAGTATTGTTACTGAACCGTTTTGGTTTTTTAAAATACTTCTTGGATAGGTATTTTAAGAGAAAAGAGGGTTTTTTATTAATGTCACAAAACCCTAAATGTATTCTATTTACGATACTTTAGGTACAGTATTTATTTCTTGACCAAGATGGTTTAGGAGTTGCATTGAAAAACCTTTGGGATTTAGCAGCAATAATGAAAAACCCTTTTGGTTTTCTAAGATAGTAAAAGGGTTTATATATCAACCCTTTGGATTTAGTAACGAAAATAGAATACCTTTAGGGTTTTGTGGCATTGACAGAAAACCCTTTATTATCTTAAAACACTTTTCCAAAAAGTATTTTAAAAAACCAAACCGGTTTAGTAACCATACAAAACTCTCAAATGGTTTCTCAAATGTGCTACTATAACCTTTTGGGTTTAGAAACAGGAATGAAAAACCGTTTGGGTTTTTTAAACTGCCTATTTTTTTTAGAGAGCACTCTTCGTCAGTTGAAATGTTATGATCAAAAGTAAAGCGTTTTATACTCGTTCAAAACAAAAAGAGGAAGAATATAAGTGGAAAAACAATGGGAGACAGATATATCTGATCGATGGAGTTTCACGAAAAACTCAGATAGCATGAGTTTACCTTCGAGGTCGAAATTTGATTTTCCATTGAGTAAGACAAAGGACGAGGGCCGATAAGCCGATCATCCCGACCAAACCAAATCACAATAAAACTTACATATTTGGAATCAGCATCGAATTCTGAGTATTTCTGCTGATTTACTTTTTCGAAAATGTCACTTTGAA